TCATATCGTATCAGTTAGGCAGAGGAAGTGACTTAAATCAATAAGCTGGCATATCATCAGCTCAACAGTTAAACAATTCAAACAGGATAAAGCAAAAACACAATTTTCCATTCACTTTAATTTATATAAATTACAAGTAATTAAACCATTTCCAGTCACTTAATAAAAAAAGTAAATAATATAATAAAAAAAATTACATATACATATCTATATATATTTGTGTGTATATAAACAACATATTCAATTGAATTAACATATATTTATACATATCCATGAAACGTGCAAAAAAATAGCAAAATTAGCTCGAAAATATGCAAATAAATTACAAATTTGCCATGCGCAATTTTTCGGCTAATAAAAATGAAATAAATATTTGAAATACAATAAATATAAATACTACATAAATATAATAGTAAAGTTAAGGCTTTTGATCAAAAACCACTCAAAGGGAAAGTCAAACTAAATCTAAATAATAAAGTTAGTTTTACAGCTTGTGTGCATAAATTAAATATGTGCAAATCGAAATGGAAACAAAATTATATGTGAAAATATTTTTTTTTTTAAATTAACTACGGAATAATACATAATATAGAAATATACAAATATTTTATGAAAAAAAAAGTTATTGAAAATATTATGTACAAAAATGTATTCCTCCAATGAATAACATTATAATAACTAATAATAAAATATAATATAAAAAAAAAAAAAATTAATACTAAAGAATATATTATAATAAACAAATATGAGTAAAAGTTAATTATAATATTGCAATGATTTTTGCAATGAATAATATAACTTGTTTTTTTGTACTTTTTTTAACAAAATATTAATAATAAACAAATATGTGTAAAAGTTAATTATAATAATTAAATAATTATTTCAATACATAAAATTCTGTTTTTATTAACATTCTTGTAGCTGCACATTCAATTCACTCCATACTTTAATTTAATACACTGACAGTAAATTAAATACAAAATTATATAAATATTTGCTCAACATATTTTGCAGTGCATAAATAAATACAATTCATAGAGCTGAAGCAAAAATAAATACAAATAAATATTGTAGTTACTTGTGAAGAAAAGTGTAAAGCAATTACAAGATTGTTTTTGATATACCAAAAGTGGGTGTGAGTTCTATGCTCGCACTTGAGCATACAGAAATAGAAGAAGAAGTAAATATATATATATATATATTTATATAGAGTAATATAAGTATATAAGACAACTGGCCCGCTCAATGCCCAAGTTATGACACGAAACGTGCAGACAGCTCGTTAAAGGCAAGTGTATAATTATTTATATATATATATATACAACATTTATACATATACAAATATGTATATTTATACTCATTCAGGAAAGTGAAATGAGTATATTGGTTTGGTTATCCGTTCAGGAACCATTTCGCATATCCTCCAACTATATCTATCACGAAGAACGTAAGAATTAGAAACCATGCCAGTTGACCTGCAAGAGAACTATGTTCGATATATACATGCATATATATATATATGCCCATTCTACCACTAAATTACTGCTGACATCGTCTATTAGAAACATTGCAAAGTAAACAGATCTGACAGTGTTTGGGCAGTCGGTAACGCCCAACTCCGACATTCATACTTAATTTATATACTTACATACATACAGATATATATATATATATATATATATATATATATATATGTACAAATATATTTAAAATTACTGCTACTGCATTAAAATGCTTGCCACGCCAACCACATTAAAAACTGCTCAACAGAATTTGCATAATTTTCCGCCCCCTCTCTCTCTTTCTCTATCTCTCTCGCTCGCTAGCGCTGCCTCTGATGTCTGGGCCGTTGCACTGTCAGCCGCTGTGACTGTGTCTGTCAGTCAGGCACAAACAAACAAACAAACAGCTTCATTACAAAATCCTTATGTACTGCACTTCAGCAAGTAGGCAAGCAAATTAAACAATAATTATTTATGCAATAACAAATGAATGTGCAAACACAGGCAAGTGCAAGCGAGATGCAAATAGTTAGCAGACGAACACAAAACAAAGTTGAGATCAGCGAGCCGTGTAAATTGTATTCTAAGCGCCAATTGTTCTGACTGCATCTGTCTCTCTTTCTATATGTCAGTGTGTGTGTTTGTTTGTATGTGTGTGAGTGACTTGCATCAAGTTTTGGCATAATTTCAGCATTTTCTGTTTAATTTAATGGAATAATTTTGTGCCTTTGAGTGCGAGCGGCGGCACATGTTAATTTTATTAAATCTTTTTTTTTTTTTTTTAAGTGCCTGAAAATTATTAAATTTATTTGTGCGAAAGTTCTATGCATACAGTGAAGCTTGACTAAACACATGCATAGTCTGACAGTCTTTCAGTTAAGGCAAAGAAAATTTGTTATTTGCGCTTGGGTTGCAGAGAAATAGTTGACTATTCAATTTAAGTCTCAATTTATGTAAATAAGTGAATATTTTAATAAACTTCGATAAATTTTGTTATTTGAATATGCTTTCAATGTTGTAAGCTTAGTAAAAATTCAATGAAATAGTAAACATAAATAAATATAAATCTTATTACTTAAATGCATCAGTTTCGGTTCAGTTGATAACTTTTGACTTAAGTAGAGAAATGTATAAGAATTGTTGAACTATAATATCTTGTCTGTAACAAAATTCCCAAAAAATATATATTTTTTGTATGTACTTAAAATTAATATTTAAGAATAATATCTAGCTAAAAATACTTTTATGTATTGCATAAAAAATACATTTAGTCACAGTAATATATCAAACTCCAACTAACTCTAATGTAGGACCCACAAATTCACAATAGATAATATATTAGCTCTTCAAACTATTATTCAAAAGTAATTCATGGTAAATGTTGTATAATATATTAAGTTATTTAGACAGCAATAGGAGCGACAAACAAATATATCGACTTCTTCTCCCCAAGATACATAACTCTCTAGAAAACAAAACCACCTTAGGCAATACGCACTGTTGCTTTATATAAATTCGCGCACTTGTCTGCCCGCAGAGGCAATATATCTTCAACGATCTGCTCTGAGTGTCTGTCTTCGCTGTGCCTTGTTACGCCCACACACACACACACACACACACACACACACACACACAAACACACACACACACACACAGTTAGCCGCGTTCTTTATGCGCTCATTCGTGCAGCGTGACTTCTATTATAGCACACGCACGCACACTCGTATAAAGCTTATCGGTGTGTGCGTGTGTTTGTGTGAATGACTTCACGCTGCTGATGCCATTTGCCATTGCTAACAACTACAATAACAATGAGAGCAGAGCCAGCAGCAGCAACTGGCGCCGCTTGCGACGTCACTTAATATACAAATTTCAGTAAATATTTATACTCGCACACACACGCACACACACACATACACAGAGTCACGTAGCTGCTGCAGTTTCCGCTGAGTTCTCTTGGAGCTGTCAGCCAAGTGCCAGACCAAAGCGAGACTCAGCCTCCAGAGAGCGACTTTTCGCTCGTACTCTCTCTCTCTCTCTCTCTCTCTCTCTCTCTCTCTCTCTCTTCGACAACAATTCGTTCAATTTGAAGCAATCAAGTTATTTTAATTCATTACGCTTACGCGGGCAACACTTTGGAGACATGCACAACTGCAGCAGCAGCACAATGTGAGGCCACGCCCCTTGTGCCACGGTCTTCGAGGGCAAGTCCATGTGCATTTTGCCTGACACCCGCTCTGCGTGTGAGTGTGTATATTATTGCATGTGTTTATATTACATTCACACACACACACACACGCACACACTGGCACACCATCAAAATGTCAGACATCTGTCATTTAATTTAATTTGACTTCACTTGCTTTCATTTGTTCGCCTTCGCCTTTGCTTCTGGCTTCTCAGTTTTCCCCGCCTCTCTCTATCCTCATTTCCTACTTTTTCGCGCTTTATTTTCTTTTTTTTTTTTTTTTTTTGCCAAGCGAAGGCGTCAGCGACTGCCTTTAAACGTGCAATTTAGTGGGAAGGGCGGGGCCAGCGAGCTGTTTCTGTTGTTATAGCTGTTATTACTGTGTGTGTGTGTGTGCTGTGGGACACACACGCGCATAACTTAAAACGTTTTGCATAGTCAGTGAGTTGGCCCAACTGGCAGGCAAAACTTTTGAGACCACGAAGAGTCGCGCATGCACTCAACATTTAATTTGTTTTTAAAATGCAATATTATACACATATATGCAAGTTGAAGCTTGTGTTGCTTGAGATCTACTTACTATTAGCATTGATATTAGTATTATTTGATATTCATGTTGATATTATTGTATTAAATAAATATAGAGGCATTGCACTAAATATTGCAATCTGTTTTCAGTAGTAAGCAGCAAATGAAAATTAGAGTAAAGGTTGATTATTATACAACTATTCTACTTGGATAGTAATAGCTAAACATATAGGGAATGGTAATTTTCATAGAGCTTATTGAGAACAAAGACGGAATAGAAAGCAGAGACACAAATGCTCTCCGACTGCTCTCAAAAACATCTGCATAAAATGGGTAAAAATTAAAAAGAAAACAAAAAAATAATAATAATCTGAAGTTTTTGTAAAGCTGACTAAAATAACTGAATTTTCAGTTTAGCTCAAAATTCTATAGATTTCTATAGAAAAATGTGGTTTCTTTTCAAGTTGTCCGATTGTGTAAGAAGCTCATTCGGATAGACCTATATTTTGTCCTTGTTATGAGTTTGAAAAACTAGGCCATTAAATGTTTATCTGTAATAAATATTATTTTAATAATAAACATTTATGTTTAAGAGTCAAATCTTCATAAGCTTATTGCCAAAGGTTCTTTGAATCAAGTTTAACAGAAAACACAATAAAAATTTTAAGTTTTATGCATAAGAAAAATATATTTTATTAAAATTAATTATAAATATTAAAGCAAATAATATAAGGTTTCATCTTATAAAGTTAGGTCACATATTTTTGCTTATATTAAAAATATTATTATTTACATATATTATATTATTATTATATGCGATTTCTATCATGTCAAGAAATTTGATTTCTTGTTGGTCATTAGTTGAACTAAATATTAAATAGGATGATTCTATAATTCCATTGCTATTCAGTCGATTGCTGAACTGTGTCCGAATTTCTCTGCTTGCTCGGGCTTCACTGCAGTCGCTTCAGCTTGAGTTTGCGGTTCTGCCTCTGCACCGCTTTAAGCTGCTTAGCTCTGTGCTGGAGCTTCTGTTCGAGCAGCCGCTTGAACTGCTGCTCCCGGACCAGTATCTGCAGATCCTCGTAGCTGCACGTGGCCATGCGCTGCTTGGTTTTGGCAATCAATTCATTGGTCAACAGAATCTTTGTCTGTGACATCTTGGCGAAGTGCGCTTTGCGTCGCTGTAGCTCCGAGCGGTGCAGGAACAGTGCGTAGGCGGTCTTAACAGTTGTTGCTTCCATGACGTTTGCTGACTGAATGTGTTGGGATGTGCCTCCCGCCGCCCCTTTTATACGCTGGCAGGCAAATGTTCTGATTGCCTGCTTGCTAGCCAAACAGGAACCGTTTGGGACACCAGTCCTTTTTTTAGCATTTGCCTGTTTACCCCAAGTGCGCCCGCTCGTGATTTTTCATGTTCTATCCTTTGGAGTGTCGTTTACCTGCCGCGCGTGCACCTGCAGCTGCAGCTGGCTTATCGGTCGTCCTGCGGCCTGCCGGGAGCCCTCACAGGTAGCCGCTGTTATCTTTAACGTTCCGGCTACGTGTTGTGGCATTAATGCACTTTAGGCAAATCCCACACATATGTGCATGACACAGGCGAGGAGTGAACGAGCCTGAACTGAACGCTTCACTCTGGCAGGAAACGAAAAGTTAGGTAAACTTTCGCGCTTGGCTGACCCAAATCAAGCAGCGAACGAGTGAGCGAGCGAGCGAGTGAACTTTTTGAGTATGCATTGGGAATTTTTACGTGCTGCATCAATAACTTGGCCAACGACGACGCATCCTTGACAGGACCACGCACACTTGACGAGCTCAGGATATCTCGCTTTCGCTCTTGCTCGCTATATCTCTGTGTCTATCTCTCTCCCGCCCACTCTTCGGTTTATTAATTTGCATGAACTTTGGCAATGCTCATTTTTCATGTCTGGCTTTTTGGACCGGAGCTAAAGCCGCAATTAAAAATTGCTTATGGCAGTAAGGGCTCTCAGAGAGCCACACCCACAATCACGCCCAGTCCCTCACTGGGAACGTTATGCAAAACTTGCACAGTTTTTGTTTTTTTGGCGACCAAGCTAACTTAATATTCTTCATCCTTTTTGCTCTCTGAATATACCATTTCCGTTTAACACCTCCGTTGCCCGCCTTTGGGCATTTAGCTAAGGCAACTGTGCATCATTATTTTGGAATTTTTGACAGTTTTTTCCACGACGATAAGCTACTTGTGAATCAGCTCAGCTTAAATAAACGCAGCTGTGCGTGAGTATGTGTGTGTGTGTGTGTGTGTCTTGTCACATTTCCGCCGGAAGTGTAAGCACAAAAGTTCGTTTTCGTTAAATGCCAGCAAGAAATGCAACGTCGCTTCATTTTCTCAGCCAGACATTGACTGATGATGATGAGCATGATGATGTAAATGGGATTTATAGTGCGCCATGACAATAGTAAACTGCTTCAGCTTCATACACACACCCACACACTTACACACACATACACTACGACTGCTGCTGGTAACAAGTAGCTGAAATCATAAGCTGTGATAGCTTCTTTGTGCGGCTGCTGTGACGAGCCAGCAAATTGCCTCACTGAATTTATAGTACAATTACCACAAATCTAATGAGCACCAAGGCACTGGGGAGACGGGGCGATGGGGCGTGGCCAGACGAGCGAGCATATAACAGCAGACAGACAACTTCATTTTTTGTCTGTAGCATACTTATTGGGGCAGGGTGGTGCAAGCTAAACTAATGAAACGAATGGGCATAGTGGAAGAGACAGAGCAGGTTGCTTAATTATATGCGAAAAGACAGCAGAGTGATATTTAAAGAAAAGTTTTGCTGGCAATGCCGAAGATTAGGAGAGCTGTCTATCATGATTACATACAAAGCCAGGACTCTCATAGTGAGAGGGAAACTGAAAGAAAGCTGAAAGAACTGACCAACACTATAATTATTTGAAGCAGAGCTTAATAATTATATAATACATATAATAATATAATATTAATATAATATATTATATACGCTTTTTTTTAACCATGAACCCATTCATTGTGGAAGATCAGATTTATCATGATTTTAATTAGTCAATTATTATTATTAGTACCAATTCTTCTCATTTAAATTTGCTATCTTTACAATAGTTGCTATATGCAAAAGGACTTACTGAATAGTAATATAGTAAATTATTAAAACTTATTACCTATAAGGTCACATTGAGAAAATCTGCAACTGTGTGAGCTAAATGTAGTTAAGCAGGCAAACTGCTTATCTATGTATGCATATTCAACACTTACTTCCAGTTCTATGTGAATGGGTTAGGTAAGCTCTGTTTGTGTACAATGTTATGCAAGAGCAATAACTACAGGGCGTCAACAACATTAAACCGTTGACGCAGCTGTTGCCCTGGCAGCTAGCTATACATTAATATTCTGAATTTCAATTCTGAGAAACGTTTACAAAACGCGCAAAAGCATTTTGCTAAAAAATCAATTCATGGAAAATTGATAAGTGATGGAGTTCTTACATATTAGCCATGTCGGGTCAAGGTGAATTTATTCTCAATATTACTCAATATAATATATGGACAAGAGTGTATAGAAAAAGGAAAGGAAAACAATATAATCAACTGCATAAATAAAATTTAGATTTAGTCAACTTTACATTATGACTTTTTAGTCCGAGCCGCATAAACACTTTTATTCTGTTTACAGTGATCCATCATGGAATCTGGAAGCAAGTTGTTTTAATTCAAAACTATAATTACAATCTATTCCGAGAACTTTAAGCTCGGTTTCCTGCGTCATGAAAATTGTTTGGTTTGAGCTAAAAAATAGTATATAATCAATACCAATATGAGATACCCCTAACATATATATATTACTCTCTCTCTTTCTCTCTTTCGCTCTATATATCAAATTTTAACAATTCCCTTTTCTATTTTCAGTTCTTTGCAACTTACGCACATTCATGAAAAACCGCTGCAACATGAAACGTGGCAAATCTCTGGAGTTAGCGCTCGCGCTATTTCTGCTGCTGACCTCTCTCTGCTCCGCAGCCGGCATGAGCCTCTCTAATGGCACAATTGTTGCTAGCCTGAGCGATGGCAGCGCTGCTGGCAACGTCAATTTGCCCGTACTAGGCGTTGGCGTCGGCCTTGGCGGCAGCAATAGCAGCAGCGGTGCCATCAATACAGGTGCGAGCCAGCCAAGCGGTGGTGCGGCCGCTCAATCGAACAGCGAGACCAGCGGCAGCAGCGGCAACAGCGGCTTATCAGCCAGCAATACGGGTGGTGGCAGCATCGCCGGCAGCAGTGGCGGTGGCAGCGGCGACACGAACTCCGCACTGATGCAGGCGCCCAAGGAGAAGCAATATGAGAAGTGCACCGGGCCAGGTGATCCGGGGCCGTGCAAGCAGTACATATACAAGTGGCGCTTCGAGCCAACGACTGGGGAATGCACCACCTTCATCTGGGGTGGCTGCGATGGTAATCCGCAAAATCGCTTTAACACCGAGCCGGAGTGTCTCTTTCACTGCGTCGGCGGACCACGTAAGCAAATGAAACCAAAACTTCAGTCAAGTTTGTAAGCCGAGTGTGTGCCCCGCAGATACCTTGCCGCCGTTTTTGCTGTCAACCACGCGAGAGCCGAGCACCACAGAATCATCGCTGGCCAGCTACAACACACAGAGTCCGGCCCAGCTGCCCGCGGGCTATAGCGGCGGACGGATGATGGGCGGCACCACGCCCGTGCCCATCGAGCAGCGCGGCCCCGAATTGACGTTTGCGGAAACGGGTCAGGGCAAGACCTTCATGTTTGCCAAAAACAACACGTTCATCCAAATGGACGGCGACATCATACAGACATTTCAATTACGGTGAGTGAGGGCGGCCAGGTTGGCCGGTTGACCCAGGAGTCCAGCTTGCCCAGTCAGGATATTGACGGCACGCTCGACACACTTACCTCAATTTGGTTAGGTAGCATTTTTGAAGTCTTTTGCATATTTCATGCTACACAAGAGAGTGGGAGGGAGAGTCTGAGATAGAGAGAGAGAGAGAGAGACAGAGAGAGGTGGGGTAAGAGTGAAAACCGCGATTCGCGCGTCATTTGCCAGATTGTTAGCGTTTCAGCTTGCAAACGTGTTTGATGTGCGCCTTAACACCAGAATGCCCGGAATATTTCTCTCATATTCTTTGAGGACACGAATATTACAGGTGCAATTTGTTAGCCTCTATAGTTAGTTCAAGCTGGAAGTTAGTTAGGGCTCTAGTTGAGTTTTGACATTGTAAAATAAAAGACTTAAGTTGTGTTTTCTGCTTTGATAAGACTGCTCTTAGAAAATGATTTAAAAAATACCACCTCAAACAAAACCAGCTCAAACATCAACAAACAACTCCAATTATAAGTTCGAAAACTTCAGTCAAAGCATTCTGCCATTCCATCTAAATTTGTGGCTCAGTTCAACTCAAGAAACTCCCAGTGAGCAGCCCATAAAATTGCCAGTTTTCATGGGTTAAAGATGCCTTTTGAAAATGTCACACAGTTGCAATTAGCTAACATGACGCAGCTTTAAAATATTTGGTGTGTGTGCATGTGTGTGTATGTGTGTGTCCTAAATGCTTTGGCAATTAAGTGTTCTCTAGCCGGAAACTGTTTGAAATTTGATTTTCTGCTCAATTGCAGGACCTTGTGTTTTGACCCAGTTAACGGGCAACTTTTGTCCAGTTGCAATTTGTGCAAACATTTTACATTTGCATATTGAATTAAAATACAAAAATAAAATAAATACAGCACAACAACAAAATATTGTCAGAAGTCACATAAAATGGGAAAAATAACTTTCTTGTTGTCAGTTTTGGGCTATAGTTTTAATTTCAACTCCAGTTGAGCTCAGAGCAAATAAATTTGTACAACTCTCTCAGGCCATAAAATAGACTATATTTATATTGTATGTATATCCATCTCTTTCTCTTTCTCTTACAGACTTTGCCGTGAGATATCATTTCAGTTTCGCACCCGCCTGCCGCACGGCCTGCTCGTCTATCACAATGTCAAGAATCCGGATCGCATTAATTTGGACCCCTATGCACTCTACGTGATTGTCGAGAAGGGCCAGCTAAAGGTTGTACATGTCTTTGGCAAGCATTCAACGAGTGTCACAGTGGGCGAGAGCCTAAATCGAGATGAATGGCACAGTGTTATGGTGAGTTGGACGACAAGTAGACCTAACTAGGTTCCATCTGCCACCTAACTGCAACTGGAAGCTGTAAGCTGCAAGCTGCAAACTGCAAACTCTTTGAGCTGCATTTGCCACTCTAGCCAGGCTTTCAAGGTTTTTCTTTACTCTGCTCTACTCTGCTCTGCTTTGTTTTCTGACTGCAGCTGAAGTTTCATGTGCTCAGCCTTGTTACTGTAATTGCTGTGGTTGAGGTGCCGGTGCTCTTTGAAATTGAGCATATTAGCTACGGCGTGAGGCTAGTCAAGCAGCTGTAAGACTTCAACTGAAATAGTCCATCGAGTTACTCAAGCCAAGTCTCTTTAATATCTAAAACAAATATATTTCCTCCAGCTCTAACAAAACACAAAAATATTCCCAATTATATATCCATCAATCTCCCTTATCACAGCTCGCTCTTAGAGTATCTCAACTAGTCGCATTCATATATATCTACCCGATTAGCATGCAGCATATGTTCATTTAGCAATTAGTAAGATTGCAAGCTGTATGTGTGCATGTGTGTGCATACGTGCTTGTGTGTGTATGTATGTGTGTTGTGTCTATGTTGTATTGCTGCCTGCATGTGTATTTGTTGTTGTAAAACGCTTTATCAAAGTTTTATAACAAAAGCAAGCAGCTTGATTTATGAACGCTCAACTTTTGTTAACTCACCTAACGGACATGGCCAGGACCTCGAATTGTTTAAGGACACGCCCAGAGTGGTCCAAGCAGCCAGCAGCCAGCAGCCGGCAGCAGCATCATCATCAATAACACACACACGCACATACACACAAACACACACATATGGGTAGCAGCAGCATCATCAACATTATCATCATCAAGCGGCAGCATTTCAGATCGTGTTGCGTGTTTTCATATTTAAAACAAACATATCCACTACTAATCACACCTAGGCAGATGCCGGCACACACGCCCTCACACCCGTATACACACACACACACACACACACACACACAAGCAGATACACTCATAAATAACACGCAAATTCCTAATGAATTTCAGCTGATCCC